ACTGTTAAGGACATGTGAGTTTTGTGTTTTCACCGTGTCTTGTATGGTTTTCTTTTGTTCAACATTAGTTCTCTTAATAAAGAGACGGTTTTGTTTTACACTTCCTCGTCTGGCCATTTAATTGAGTTCACCTAACACTTTTCGGCCCCATTATGCGCATCGTTTCTGACACATTTTGCGAAATATGCTTATTTGCTTTGCTTGCCAAGAGTTAGATTAGAAGATTGATACCACTCTAACGTAGCAGCAGGTTACCATAGCTTAGCATAAAGACTAGAACTGGGGGAAACAGCTAGCCCTGCTGTGTCTAAAGGTAATAATCCACCCCATCAGAACACCTAAAGTTGATTAAACGTAGCCTTATACTTACCAGACAGATGTGAGGCTGGTATCAGTCTTCTGAATCAATCTAATTCACAGCAAGAAAGCAAAAAAGTGTATTTCACAAAATGTCAAGCAATTGTAGTCCCCACTGGGGATGGGAGGACATGTTGCCCTCATTTTTCAAAATGTTGCTGTGTACAAATTAAAATCTCTCTCATCCAGCCATTGTAATCCAGAAGAGGTAAGGTATGGGTTGATAACATGGTTGCCTTCAATTATGAGTGTTCATTCAAAATTAAATTTTAAATATGGCTAGTGCTCAAATGGTGCAGCAATTTGCATCTCTTATTCTTTTGTAGGCTGCAGTATGTACCTGCATCTCTGACCATGAACATTCACCTTTCTTCACTTTGTTCATCAGATAAGCCTGCTGAATTTTATTTTTCTTTTTTTATAAAAAGTGAGAAATTGTGTGTCCAACTCTGATACACACGTACCATGTCATTTTGTATTTATACTGTGTGCATGTGTGTCCATCTTCCAGGGTCCTGCCTGCCTCAGTCATAATGGATTTTTATAAAGAAACAGTGGCACTGTGACAGCACTAACCAAATCGACTTTCTTTAGCTTTCTTTCCTTGTTCATATTCTCCATTCTCATTGAGTGTTTGGCTCCTAACAATGCTGTGTTTCCCCTGATGATCTCTTTCTGCAGGGAACCCCTCCTAATTTTCCTCTACATAAACAGAAAAAAATATCTTGAAGGCCTTTTTTTTTTTTTTTTTTGTTCTCATGCTCTCAGAAGGAAGAGGAAGTGTTATCTGTGGTGGACAAACTTAACCAAATTAAGATCTGGTGGGGCATAGGGGCTTGGCTTGGGACACAGCTGGGGTTTCCAGCTTGCCAACTAGGCACATAGCCAGTCAACCAGCCAGACAACCAGCTAGGCAGGCAGGCAAGTAGCCAGCTGCCAGCTCAGTCAGTCAGCAGCAAGTCAAACAGTAAACCCACCAGCTGCCTTCTCGGTACACCTACCAGCCTGGCAGTTTGACAGATAACCACCCAGCAAACCAGCCTGTTAAACATTTAACCAGTTAAGTAGCCAGCCCATCAGATAGCCAGCCTCTTTGCCATGTGTTTACAGTTAGAGTAGGAGCATTTGAAGAACTCAAAAACTCATTATGTATCCCTCTACTATGGTTCAGTAAGGAAGCACTGTCCAGACTAACCAAAATTTGTCAGACTATAATATTTTGTAATTATCAATATTATCTTGCTATGACAGATTTCTAAATCCTCATTAACTTAAAAAATAGCATTCCCACAGACTTTAATCATAGCCCTTCTCATTCATTTGAATGGGACTGGCACACGGACTGTATATAAACATGGACAATACATCAACATTTCTCTCCACTATGCACTTCCCTCCTTTTTCCATCCATATGCGCACCAGCTAGAATGGTGCGTGTTTTCCCCAACCAAAAACCATGATTTAATAGGGATATAAAACAGAAAATCAGGAAGAGACAAGAGGCTTTTAAGTCAGGGGACTAAGCGGAGTACAGGAAAACCCGGTATGAACTACAGCTGTCCATCAGAGCTGCAAAGAGAGTATACTTCCAAAAACTGGAGAGCTACTATATGAATAACAACATGCGCAGTATGTGGCAGGGAATTCAGGCAGTCACAAACTACAGGAACAAATCAACAAACACAAGCCCTCAGGATGCCACCCTCCTGGACAGCCTCAACAACTTATTCAACTTCAGGTTTGACAGGATGAACACAGATACCCCCTCAAAATCCCCCTGCGACCCGGGGGACACAGGTCCTGAAGGCCCTGAAACAGGTAAACCCCCATAAGGTGGCGGGACCAGACAATGTCCCCCCTAGAGTGTTGACAGCCTGTGGGGATCAACTAGCTAATGTGTATACAGGCATCTTCAACCTGTCTTTAACCCAAGCAGTAGTTCCTCGCATTTCCAGTCAGTCAGAACTGATGAAGCCTCTTGGATGAGAGGTGAAACGTCTTTGATCTAGAAATCCAAGTCCAGTTGATTTCCAAGGTTATTTCGGTTGCGGTTTACTGCAAACCCCTGGCTCCATCTGTCTGATGATCTGACCAGTGTGAGACTTAAAGACACATGTCAGCAGCTCCCTGACCACCCAGAGAGAAACAGTAATTATCCCAATGTTCTGGGCTCTGAGGGTTTCAGCTCAGGGAAACACAGCTGGGAGGTGGAGGTGGGAGACCATCCTGACTGGATTGTGGGTTTGGCCAATGAGTCATTTGACAGGAAGGGAGAGCGATATCCTTCACCAGAACATGGAATCTGGTGTTTACTGCATCGTGATGGAAAATACACTGATGGTGTTGGTCAGACTGTCAGAATGAAGCAGAGTCTCCAGAGGATCAGAGTCCAGCTGGACTATTACTGGGGGCAGGTGTCCTTCTACGACGCTGAAGACATGACTCATATCTACACTCACAGAGACACTTTCACTGAGAAACTCTTCCCTTATTTTTATGTCAGAGACGCTGGTGATGCCAAAACCACTGATATCAAAATGTGTCCCAGTCAGATTTCTCTGTGATGTTCAGGGAGGTGGTAGTGAGTCAGTAGGGTTTTTATAATGGGGCTGGTTTTTCAGTTAGAACTTTTACAGCTTAAGATCATGTAGTAATAATAATAAACACAAATAATATACATAAAACCTAAAAGCAATTCGAATAACAGAATAAAAACACCATAAAAATCTGTAAACCCAATCAATTAAAAAATTGTCTAAAAAAATGTGTCTTCAGCTGCTTTTTAAAACTCTCAACAGATTCGGCCATACGTAAAGACAAGGGCAGAGCATTCCACAATCTTGGAGCAACTGCCTTAAAAGACAGGTCACCTCGAGATTTAAAGCAAGTTTTTGGGACCAACAAAAGGGGCTGATTTGAGGAACAATGGGTACGTTTGGGGGAATATGGAACCAACAAATCAGCAATTAGTGGGGGACCTGGCCATGTAGTGCTCTAAATGTCAGCACTAAAATTTTAAAATCAACTCTGACCTTGACTGGTAGCCAGTGAAGTGAGTACAGAACTGGAGTGATATGAGCTGATCTAGAGGTTCTTGTGAGCAGCATTCTGGACAATCTGAAGTCCGTTTAGACTTATTACAACAAGTAAAAAGAGAGTTACAATAATCAATACGCGAAGAAATAAAAGCATGAACAATCATTTCAAGATCCGCCTTTGATAAAATCTTCCTTAATTTAGAAATATTTCTCAAATGATAAAAGCAGTTCCTGACTAATAGTCTTATATGACAATCAAATGACACAGCCTGGTCCAACACAACACCAAGGTTTCTCAGGCTCAACTGGACGGAGGAGCCCAGCAAACCAAGGTGTTGTTTAATTACTGCGAACTTGTTAACAGGTGCAACAATAAGAGTTTGTCTTGTCCGAGTTTATGCGAAGATAATTATTATTGAGCCAGTTCTTGATGGAAGACAAGCACTCTAATAATGTTGCTAAAAACTGAAACTCTGAATCATTAAAAGAACAGTAAATTTGAAGATCATCTGCATAAAAATGATATGACACATTCTTAAAACTCCAGATAATCTGACCCAGAGGAAAAATATATAATAAAAACAGGAGAGGACCCAAGACCGACCCCTGTGGAACTCCACAGGACAGAGCAGCCATTTTAGACATAACATTATTAATAGCCACATTAAAAGTTTGATCACTAAGATAGGAAGAGAACCACTTAAGGACAGATCCAGAAAACCCCAACTCAGACTGTAGCCGATTTATCAAAATTCCATATGATCCACAGTTTCAAAGGCAGATGTTAAATTTAATCAAACCAGAACTGTATATCAACCAGAGTCTGCAGCCATCATTATGTCATTTGAGACTTTAAGTAAAGCAGTCTCAGTAGAATGCATCTTACGAAACCCTGACTGAAATTCGTCAAATAGTTTATTCTGTTCCATAAAAGCGATCAGCTGTCCTGCTACCGCTTTGTCCAAGATTTTTGACATAAAAAGGAGCTTTGATATTGGCCTGTAGTTTCTTGGCTCAGAATGGTCGAGAGTCGGCTTTTTAAGAATAGGATTAACAAGTGCATGTTTAAAATAACTAGGAACAGATCCTGTCTCAAGTGAGAGATTTAACAATTTCACAATCCAAGGACCCATCAAGTCCGACTTACTTAGAAGCAAAGATGTAGGCAAGATGTCAACAGGGCTAGTTGATGGATTAATCCTGCTTATTAGTGTATTCACCTCCTGAAGTGTTACTGGAGTGAAAGATGACCAGAGACCTACACATGGTGTCTCAGTATTTAAACTTACCAGT